ATAACTATACCTCAAATGATAAAATAATTGTATCTCAAATGATAACTATACCTCAAATGATAAAATAATTGCATCTCAAATGATAACTGTACCTCAAATGATAAAATAATTGTATCTCAAATGATAACTGTACCTCAAATGATAAAATAATTGTACCTCAAATGATAACTATACCTCAAATGATAAAATAATTGTATCTCAAATGATAACTATACCTCAAATGATAAAATAATTGTATCTCAAATGATAACTGTACCTCAAATGATAAAATAATTGTATCTCAAATGATAACTGTACCTCAAATGATAAAATAATTGTATCTCAAATGATAACTGTACCTCAAATGATAAAATAATTGTATCTCAAATGATAACTGTACCTCAAATGATAAAATAATTGTATCTCAAATGATAACTATACCTCAAATGATAAAATAATTGTACCTCAAATGATAACTATACCTCAAATGATAAAATAATTGTATCTCAAATGATAACTGTACCTCAAATGATAAAATAATTGTATCTCAAATGATAACTGTACCTCAAATGATAAAATAATTGTACCTCAAATGATAAAATAATTGTATCTCAAATGATAACTATACCTCAAATGATAAAACAATTGTACCTCAAATGATAACTATACCTCAAATGATAAAATAATTGTATCTCAAATGATAACTGTACCTCAAATGATAAAATAATTGTATCTCAAATGATAACTATACCTCAAATGATAAAATAATTGTACCTCAAATGATAACTATACCTCAAATGATAAAATAATTGTACCTCAAATGATAAAATAATTGTATCTCAAATGATAACTATACCTCAAATGATAAAACAATTGTACCTCAAATGATAACTATACCTCAAATGATAAAATAATTGTATCTCAAATGATAACTGTACCTCAAATGATAAAATAATTGTATCTCAAATGATAACTGTTCCTCAAATGATAAAATAATTGTATCTCAAATGATAACTATACCTCAAATGATAAAATAATTGTACCTCAAATGATAACTATACCTCAAATGATAAAATAATTGTATCTCAAATGATAACTGTACCTCAAATGATAAAATAATTGTATCTCAAATGATAACTGTACCTCAAATGATAAAATAATTGTATCTCAAATGATAACTGTACCTCAAATGATAAAATAATTGTATCTCAAATGATAACTGTACCTCAAATGATAAAATAATTGTATCTCAAATGATAACTATACCTCAAATGATAAAATAATTGTATCTCAAATGATAACTGTACCTCAAATGATAAAATAATTGTATCTCAAATGATAACTATACCTCAAATGATAAAATAATTGTATCTCAAATGATAACTGTACCTCAAATGATAAAATAATTGTATCTCAAATGATAACTGTACCTCAAATGATAAAATAATTGTATCTCAAATGATAACTGTACCTCAAATGATAAAATAATTGTATCTCAAATGATAACTATACCTCAAATGATAAAATAATTGTATCTCAAATGATAACTATACCTCAAATGATAAAATAATTGTATCTCAAATGATAACTGTACCTCAAATGATAAAATAATTGTACCTCAAATGATAACTATACCTCAAATGATAAAATAATTGTATCTCAAATGATAACTATACCTCAAATGATAAAATAATTGTATCTCAAATGATAACTGTACCTCAAATGATAAAATAATTGTATCTCAAATGATAACTGTACCTCAAATGATAAAATAATTGTATCTCAAATGATAACTGTACCTCAAATGATAAAATAATTGTATCTCAAATGATAACTATACCTCAAATGATAAAATAATTGTATCTCAAATGATAACTATACCTCAAATGATAAAATAATTGTATCTCAAATGATAACTGTTCCTCAAATGATAAAATAATTGTACCTCAAATGATAACTATACCTCAAATGATAAAATAATTGTACCTCAAATGATAACTATACCTCAAATGATAAAATAATTGTACCTCAAATGATAAAATAATTGTATCTCAAATGATAACTATACCTCAAATGATAAAACAATTGTACCTCAAATGATAACTATACCTCAAATGATAAAATAATTGTATCTCAAATGATAACTGTACCTCAAATGATAAAATAATTGTATCTCAAATGATAACTGTACCTCAAATGATAAAATAATTGTACCTCAAGTGATAACTGTACCTCAAATGATAAAATAATTGTATCTCAAATGATAACTGTACCTCAAATGATAAAATAATTGTATCTCAAATGATAACTGTACCTCAAATGATAAAATAATTGTATCTCAAATGATAACTATACCTCAAATGATAAAATAATTGTATCTCAAATGATAACTATACCTCAAATGATAAAATAATTGTATCTCAAATGATAACTGTACCTCAAATGATAAAATAATTGTATCTCAAATGATAACTGTACCTCAAATGATAAAATAATTGTATCTCAAATGATAACTATACCTCAAATGATAAAATAATTGTATCTCAAATGATAACTGTACCTCAAATGATAAAATAATTGTATCTCAAATGATAACTATACCTCAAATGATAAAATAATTGTATCTCAAATGATAACTGTACCTCAAATGATAAAATAATTGTATCTCAAATGATAACTATACCTCAAATGATAAAATAATTGTATCTCAAATGATAACTGTACCTCAAATGATAAAATAATTGTATCTCAAATGATAACTGTACCTCAAATGATAAAATAATTGTATCTCAAATGATAACTGTACCTCAAATGATAAAATAATTGTATCTCAAATGATAACTGTACCTCAAATGATAAAATAATTGTATCTCAAATGATAACTGTACCTCAAATGATAAAATAATTGTATCTCAAATGATAACTATACCTCAAATGATAAAATAATTGTATCTCAAATGATAACTATACCTCAAATGATAAAATAATTGTATCTCAAATGATAACTGTACCTCAAATGATAAAATAATTGTATCTCAAATGATAACTGTACCTCAAATGATAAAATAATTGTATCTCAAATGATAACTATACCTCAAATGATAAAATAATTGTACCTCAAATGATAACTATACCTCAAATGATAAAATAATTGTATCTCAAATGATAACTATACCTCAAATGATAAAATAATTGTATCTCAAATGATAACTATACCTCAAATGATAAAATAATTGTATCTCAAATGATAACTGTACCTCAAATGATAAAATAATTGTACCTCAAATGATAACTATACCTCAAATGATAAAATAATTGTACCTCAAATGATAAAATAATTGTACCTCAAATGATAAAATAATTGTATCTCAAATGATAATTGTACCTCAAATGATAACTATACCTCAAATGATAAAATAATTGTATCTCAAATGATAACTATACCTCAAATGATAAAATAATTGTATCTCAAATGATAACTATACCTCAAATGATAAAATAATTGTACCTCAAATGATAACTATACCTCAAATGATAAAATAATTGTACCTCAAATGATAACTATACCTCAAATGATAAAATAATTGTACCTCAAATGATAACTATACCTCAAATGATAAAATAATTGTACCTCAAATGATAACTATACCTCAAATGATAAAATAATTGTACCTCAAATGATAACTATACCTCAAATGATAAAATAATTGTACCTCAAATGATAAAATAATTGTACCTCAAATGATAACTATACCTCAAATGATAAAATAATTGTACCTCAAATGATAACTATACCTCAAATGATAAAATAATTGTACCTCAAATGATAACTATACCTCAAATGATAAAATAATTGTACCTCAAATGATAACTATACCTCAAATGATAAAATAATTGTACCTCAAATGATAACTATACCTCAAATGATAAAATAATTGTACCTCAAATGATAAAATAATTGTACCTCAAATGATAACTATACCTCAAATGATAAAATAATTGTATCTCAAATGATAACTATACCTCAAATGATAAAATAATTGTATCTCAAATGATAACTATACCTCAAATGATAAAATAATTGTATCTCAAATGATAACTGTACCTCAAATGATAAAATAATTGTACCTCAAATGATAACTATACCTCAAATGATAAAATAATTGTACCTCAAATGATAAAATAATTGTACCTCAAATGATAAAATAATTGTATCTCAAATGATAATTGTACCTCAAATGATAACTATACCTCAAATGATAAAATAATTGTATCTCAAATGATAACTATACCTCAAATGATAAAATAATTGTATCTCAAATGATAACTATACCTCAAATGATAAAATAATTGTACCTCAAATGATAACTATACCTCAAATGATAAAATAATTGTACCTCAAATGATAACTATACCTCAAATGATAAAATAATTGTACCTCAAATGATAACTATACCTCAAATGATAAAATAATTGTACCTCAAATGATAACTATACCTCAAATGATAAAATAATTGTACCTCAAATGATAACTATACCTCAAATGATAAAATAATTGTACCTCAAATGATAAAATAATTGTACCTCAAATGATAACTATACCTCAAATGATAAAATAATTGTACCTCAAATGATAACTATACCTCAAATGATAAAATAATTGTACCTCAAATGATAACTATACCTCAAATGATAAAATAATTGTACCTCAAATGATAACTATACCTCAAATGATAAAATAATTGTACCTCAAATGATAACTATACCTCAAATGATAAAATAATTGTACCTCAAATGATAAATTAATTGTACCTCAAATGATAACTATACCTCAAATGATAAAATAATTGTACCTCAAATGATAACTATACCTCAAATGATAAAATAATTGTACCTCAAATGATAACTATACCTCAAATGATAAAATAATTGTACCTCAAATGATAAAATAACTATACCTCAAATGATAAAATAATTGTATCTCAAATGATAAATGTACCTTAAATGATAAGATAAGATAATTATACCTCAAATGCTTTTTGAAGGCTCATCCATTGTAAATTCGGCATTTTCCACTTATTTTCACTCATTAGTTGATTAAGGAGAGCGCAACAACGTAGAAATCCTTCACTCTAAAAAATGATTAATTCGATTATCACTTATGTTTATATCAGTGATAATCAAAACTAACAACTAAATATTCATCCAAATAACTAAATACTTACAAACATTAATTAATAATGCTTAAATATTAAGTAATAAATAATATTTTTGAATGATTTTTATCAATTCTTTTCTAATATAAACAATGTAACATTTAACTAACCTTACTCCTATCAAAACTTAATAATTTTGACTTTGCTTCTGAGAAACCACCATAAAATGCAGCACGAAAGTATGGAGAAATTTGTGCAAATTCTATACGATCCATTGTAATCTGTAACTAAACATTGAATTCCATTTAAAAGAAATTTAAAATTTTTTAAATTGAATTGAAATTCTAATTTTGATTTTGCTAAAAGTACAATTAGATTTTCAAAAATTTAAACAACTCATGCAAGTGTAATATTTGAAAAAAAAAAAAAGAAAAAAATGATAGATATGATTTTTATCATTTCAAATTTAGAATTGTCATAGCAGTAATTAATTTCTTATAGAATATAAAGAAATTTTTGATAGAAGTTATTATATTATATTACTTTTTAAGTTGTTGGTTTGATAATATATTACAAAGAATTTAAAATTTTTATATGTAAATGAGTGAAATAATATTTTAAATATTAAAATTTTACCGCAATATTTCTGTTCAGAATGATGGTAGCACTACTACGAGCTTTTTGTTGAGATTTGTATTTTTTTCCATCAATTGTTGTTATGATAGTTTTATTGAAGTGTTGTTGAGTTATTGAATTTACTGTAGATTTGATGTTCAGTGAGGCGGTTGAAACTGATAATGCTGATAACGCTGATGATATCACATCAGAAGAATCATAATCACTGATATCAGTTGATTGATTTGATAATGATGATGATAATGATGATGATGATGATTGGGTTATTGATAAAGCCTCACTGATTGAGAATGATTTTGTTGCTAATGGAACGATTGATTTGTCACAAGAATTATGACAATTTTTACTTCTCTGTGATGCTTCCTCTACGAATTGATCTAATGAACTGCTCTGCGCTTCACTCATATACGCTCTTTCATATGAAATAAATTTCATTTAAACAAAAAAAAAAATTAGTATTAGAAAAAATTTTACAAAATATTACTAAAAATTGCTAATCAGTTGCTAAATTAAATATTACTAAAATTTTTTAATACTAAAATTGTAAACAAAATATTACTTAAAATTGCTACTAAATTACTAAATTAAATACTACTAAAATTGTAAACAAAGTACTACTAAATTGTGTAATTAATTTGAAAATGAAAACAAAAAAGAAAAAATTAGAATAATTAATCAGTTTATTCACTTATCTCTCTCTCTATCTATCTTTTCTATCACTTTTGTAAATATGTTACTCTTAATGATAACTTATGAAATTTGCTAAATTGATTGTTTCATTTAATAAATTTTGATTATTTCATTGCTTAATAAATATATTCACGTAATTAGTATTAGTTAATTAAAGTTTATGGATTAGCATAGATATGATTTAATACTTTAATACCAATTACACATTCAAAATTGCTTTTTAAACTCATTAAGCATTATAAATTATACGTCTATTAGTGGTTTAATATTAATATAAACTAATTTAAATTTGGTAAAATATGTATAATATATAAAATATAATTTAAAAAAATATCATAAAATATAATAATAAAATAAATTAATTTAAATTTGATAAAATATGTATAATATATAAAATATAATTTAAAAAAATATTATAAAATATAATAATAAAATAAATTAATTTAAATTTGGTAAAATACATAATATATAAAATATAATAAAAAAATATTGTAAAATATAATAATAAAATAAATTAATTTAAATTTGATAAAATATATAATATATAAAATATAATTAAAAAAAAACATTATAAAATATAATAATAACATAAATTAATTTAAATTTAACAAAATAAAAAATTTCTAATTTTCTTGTTTTAATTAAATGATTATTATTAATGATTGAAATATTATAAGCAATTAACAAATAGATTAGTCATACATTGAACACTGAATGCAATCTTATTTCGACGCCTTCTTTGATCGCTTGCAGCGTAAACAACGTATGCATAAAAAAAAAGTAAATAAATAAATAAAATAAATAAATAATGGCGAAGAGTTGAACGACAAATAAGTGGTAACTTTGCTACAATTGATGCGGTTTTAGCCCGACCGTCCGCGGGCGGTTTAAGGATGTGTAAATGGCTTTTAATATTTCATTTAAGCTATTTATGCTTTCATTCAAAAATTATTTTTAATTTCTGCTTTAGAAAAAAAAAAAAAAAAGAAATCAAATTCTTTATAATATCTGAAATCTGGAAATGTTTAGAAATGTTAAAAGAGATCAGGAATAAAACTTTCCTGAATGATCAAATAAATTCATTTTTCTAAGATAAGAAATATTTATGTTTATTCTCTTACTTAAACTTATTTTCCTGATCCTGTATTTATTGAAAATCGGAAAAAATGTAGGACGAAAAATTTCTTTCATCGTTTTAGTCTCAATTTATTGCTTACAGCTTCTAAGCCATCTATATTTGTATTCATAGCTTAATCATTCTACTTTCTATCAATTAAAATTCAAACATGCAAATTGTTTGTAGTGATTGATAGGAAGCAAAAAGTTTTTTCAATTTATTATTAATTTAGTAATCACACAGAGCGGTGCAATCATTTTCTAATTTTTACGAAAGAAATAAGTTCTGTTTATCTTACTTTTATCCAATTTATAGTTTATTTTTAAATTTTATAACTTTCAAATTCAAATTGATTATCTAAAAAAAGTTCTGAATGATAAATTTGTATTTAAATGAAATTAAATAGAAGCAGTAATTGTACAAATAAATTTCCTCAACTGAGATCATTTATTGATAATCATATCAATATTATCATTGTTAATTTTGTTTGCAATAAATCTTTTTCATCTATCATGTGTAACACTTTTATCTTTGTCTACTTTCTAATTACCATCTTTTTTTAATAATTACTTTATAGAAATATAAATCATAAGAATGATCGATTCTATTAGCTCAGATAAAACAAAGAGAGGAAAAACTGAGCGTAAAATTGCAGACGAAGTTTGCCCTTACTTCTCAATAAAAATTTTTTAATAAAAATTTTTTTCCTTAAAAATTAAAAAAATTTTTTTAAAAAAAAATTAATAAAAATTGAAATTACTAACAAACTTTCTTATCTTTATTGAACTTTTATCATACATTCAACATAATTAGTTAATTTTAAATTTCTTTACTGACCCATCGTAAACTCTTTTATATCGTTTTTTTTTTTTTTGATTTTAATATCAAAGTTACACTTATCTATAGAAACTAAATTAATACAGATCCAATCACAAAGTGATGGTCAACACTTGATAAAGGATATATCATCGGAATCCGCAAAGTGGAGTAAGAATTCCGGAAATTTTATCATTTTGTTAGGATTGATATGATATGACTTTATCGATTGACTTTGTGGTATGACCCATCACTCTGATATGATATGTTATTTAGTAACATTTCATTGATTAAATTGTCACATCATTTTATTACATTCCATACAATTGACTGAGTATACTATAATTAGGATGATTCATTTTATCCATGGGACAGGTATCAGGTAACATGCTGGTAGCATTCTGGTAGCATTCTGATCTAGGTGAGATTTAACTCTCAGTCATTTTAGATAATGAAGGTAAAATTGTCACATGGAGTGATGTTACAGTAAAGGTACCACTTGGCAAGAAATCATTGCTTCAATGTCTCAAAATCGTTCGAGAAACAACAAAGACAAAAACAATACTTAGCAAAGGTGAAATTAACAATTTTTTTTTTTTTTTTTTTAGTGCTACGAATTTGAAAGTATTTTTGAAAATTCTGGTTAATATTATGAAAAAAAGGTCGGTTTTTTTTTTTAATTCTGTAAAAGGACAATTTTTAATTTTAACAAGAATTAAAATTTCGAACATTTAGAAGTGATTATTAACAAATTGTTTCAAAGTTCTTTTTACAGTTTCTGGTTATGCAGTACCCGGTACCACACTTGCAATTATGGGAAGTAGGTACGATTTTTTTCCATTTCGAAAAATGCAAATTTGAATATAAATTAAATAAAAAAATTTTAGAAGAAATGAATTGAAAAAAAAAAAAACAAACAATTATGATACTAATAGTACAGGTGATAATGAATATCATTAAGTATAATTACAGTGGAACAGGTAAAACTGTCCTTTTAAATGCACTTACAATGAATGTATCAAGTGATGTTGATGTAAAAGGTAATTGAAAATATTAATTAACTCAAAGATGTTTTTTTTTTTTGATTTTTTTGGAATGACAGAAAGTTAAATTTGAAATATTAATAAAATAATTTCTTTAAAAAAAAAATCAGTCTATCTTTGAGTTAGTAAAATTTAATCTTTACTACTTTCTCAAATTAATAAATTCAAAAGTTTATGTAAGCTTATTCAAAAAATTTAATTTCAATGCCAAAAAAAAAAAGAACTAACAATTCCGGAAATATTCTCTTTTTAGCTATCAAAAACTGCAATTTACTTTTCAATTCTTTGTGCATATTCATACTTGCAAATGTTTTAAAAAATTAAATAGCAATTAGATTTTAAACTTTAAACATCAAAAAATTAAGGAAAAATATTAGTTAATGGTGAACAGCTATCAGCGACCGATATGCATCGTATATCACGGTATGTACATCAAGATGATATATTCATTGGTACTTTAACTGTACGGGAACAACTTATTTATTCGGTATTGTTTATTTTCATTCATTCAAATAAAATGAATTTGCCGGAATAGCAAATGAAATAATCCTGTATGACCTTTGGTATAACAGTTCACAGTTCAGGAAGAATTCCATCCTAAAATGTGAAATTTAAATATAAGAAAATCGATTAACTTTTATGTTACTTATTTCGACTAACTTTTATGTTACTTATTACAGAAGACAAAGTTAACTTAAAATGATCTTGTTATATCTGTCCTATTTTGTATGATATTCTTTGAATATATTCACAGTAATTCAGGCTGAACTTCAAATGGGTCACAGTGTATCGAAAGTGGATAGGTTAAATCGAGTAGAAGAAGTACTCAAAGAGGTCAATTGAACTTATTCTCATTAATTGATCAGATCTTCATTGTGTTAGCATCAAATTAATTTATCCATTTTAAGAATTTCACAAATAAATTCAACGAATGAAGTATTTTTGATGCACTGATAATATTAAATCAAATTTGATCTGAAATCAATTTGGCTAAGTATCTTTTTTAATATGTCTTTCTTTAGATCTTAAATTTTTTTTTTTTTTTTTGCAGCTCGGCCTAAAAAGATGTGAAACGACGTTAATCGGTGTTACAAATCGACTTAAAGGCATTTCTTGTGGTGAAAGTAAACGTCTTGCATTTGCATGTGAAGTTAGCTCATTCATTCTTGCACTAATTTACTGTCAACTTAACTTAGAGTTGAAATTAAAAATGATCTAAATTATAAGAATATATTCTTACATGTAAATGTAAAGGACGACGAAAAGTTCATCTTGTTGAAATTCAATTATTTGGCTGCAGGTGCGCTAAAAGTACGGTAATAGAAGTAATACTGAAATAGTTTGATATTAGTTTAGTCAAAGATTAATTTTAGATTCTCACTGATCCACTCATTTTATTTTGCGATGAGCCAACATCTGGTTTGGATTCATTTATGGCAGTCCAAGTTATGCATTGCTTAAAAGTTATGGCCAAAAAAGGAAAGACAATAATTACAACAATTCATCAACCATCCAGTCAAGTATTCAATATGTTTGACAAGTTTGTCACACAATTTATCAGTTTACTATTTTCTAATGAAAAATTTCAACAAATTTCATAGTTGCATTCTAAAAACTTTAAAAAAAAAACCTTAAATGTTATTTAAACTTAAACTTTTTATTTAAATAACTATTTACACTGATAACAAGAGAATGCAAAAATATTTAGATTACTTAAGGATTGTAAAATTGTGTCACAT